GTAGGCCACGCCACCCACTTAGGTCGCCTCGCCAGCCTCCCTGGCTGCTTTGCCGGTCGTTGCTCTGGTTGTCGCGCCCGGACCGGACACTCGTGCGCGCACGTTTGTTTTTCGCCGGAGTACTCGCTATCCTGACGACGAGTATGTCTGCACTACATCGACTTCCCCGCTGCCGTTGCTTCCCACCTATGCATGTGCATCTCTGCATTCCTCAGTGGTTTGCAACTATGCAGGAGGATTTTTGACACCTTATTGTGGAGCAGGAAGTAGCAGCTCGTCCCTCATCCCCCACGTGCCAATGTTATGAGCGGCAAGTGGATGTTTCATCACAAGCTCCGTCTCGATGGCACACTTGAGCGTTATATGGCTCATTGGGTGGTGTGAGGCTTTAGGCAGCGTGCAAGCCGGCGTTGACTTGACTAACACCTTTTCTCTGATTGTAAAACCGGTCATGATCCACATCGTCCTCCAGCTCATGGTATCTCGTGCATGGCCGGGTCACCAGATGGATGGCTCCAACGCCATTTGTCATGGTCATCTTAATGAATAGGTTTATTGCTAACGGTCTACCGGCTTCGTCGACAACACACATCTCGACCACGTCTACTTGCTCTCATGCTCCTTGTATGGGCACAAGCAGGCACCGCGTGCCTCTTACTGTACATCGCGACATTTCTTCATCAGATCGGGTTTCAGTCCAACCGCTCGGATGTGTCATTGTTTGTATACAACCAAGATGATGCTACCGCCTATCTTCTTCTCTATGGCGACGACATTATCCAAACAGCGCTCACCACCGATCTCCTTCGGTGACTCACTGAGCGCCTTCACGCCTAGTTCGCCTTCAAGGACTTGGGCTGCTCCACTACTTCCTCGGCATCGGGGTAGTATATCGCGCCGACGCCTTCTTCCTCCACCAGCTGAAGTCTGCTCATGAGCTCCTTGACCGTGCCGACTTGCTTAACTGCAAGCCCACGGCTAGACCCGTGGATACGAAAGGTCAAGCTCTCTGCTACTGACGGTTCTCCAGCCCCGAATGTCTCCTTCTACAGGTCCATCGTTGGTGCCTTGCTGTACATGACACTTACTCGTCCCGAGTTGTAGTATGCTGTTCAGCAGGTGTGCCTTCACATGCACGCTCCTTGAGCTGCTCATTGGACCTTGGTAAAGCGGATTCTATGGTATATTCATAGTCACATGGATCTCGACATCAACTTGTAGGCTTCGCCTTTGACCGACGTCGTCACTTACTCGGATGCTGATTGGGTTGGCTGCTTGAAACACTAGCCGCTCTACATCTGCATATTGTGTGTTCCTTGGACCATCACTCATATCGTGGTCGTCCAAGCGACAACCCACGATTTCACGGTCCAGTGCTGAGGCGGAGTATCGTGGTGTGGCCAACACCGTTGCTAAGTGTATGTGGCATCGGCATCTTCTCCATGAGCTTTGCAATCCAGTCCACAAAGCCACCATGGTCTACTGCGCCACCTTCTCCTTCATCTACCACTCCATCAAAACGATCCATCATCGCCGCACCAAGCACATCGAGCTGGATATTCATTTTGTCCGCGAACAAATGGCTTTTGGGAAGGTTCAAGTTCTTCATATTCCCATGACGCAACAACTCGTCGACAGAATGACCAAAGGCTTGCTGGCATCTAGCTTTGAATGTTCCAGTCCAGTCTTTGCCCAGACACGACAATTCGACTGCAGAGGTTGAACGTACATATGTGTATAGGGTAGGGCCATGTATTTATCTAACTGTCATGCCTCCTAATCTTCTATTGACCTGGTGAACCAACCTGTGGTTGGATGGTTAGAGGGACAGTGGTGTCTCAGCCCACCAGGGTTCAAATTCTGATGATCGCATTATTTCTGGATTTATTTCAGGATTTCCGACGATGCGCTTTGAGTGAGAGGAGACGTCTCCATCGACAACGAGACGCCTACGGTGACTTCGTAAATCTCAAGATGATATGCCGGCTCGGTCTCTCGAAGGTGCTCATATGGGTAGGGTGTGCGTATGTGCGTTCATAAGGCTGAGTGTATACGCGTATATATGAGCACTCGCGCATGTACCGTGTTAAAAAAAATCTTCTATTAACCTGTACCTAGCGTGGGAGATA